CCCCAAAACCCCAAAACCCCGAATGTCTAAGATTATAGAATAAAAAGGATATGATTTATAATAATTAAAATATAATGAGGTACCTAGCTTTGTATTTATTATTAGGTCTAATCTACACTTGGGAGATATTTCCCAAAAAGCCAGTCATAGAGACAGTTAACGATTTCCCAAATTGCGCTGATGATTCAGCAGATGAATGTTTATTAGCGAATCAGGCATTAAAAAATTTAGACTAAAAAACTTAGTTCTAGTTTTTGAACTAATCAAAATCACTAAGAATAGAAAATTGCACTTTAATTTGTAATAGTGCCCCTAAAATTCAGAAAGATGATAAACCAATGAATAACTGCCAATTTATTGTTAACACATCCAAATCTATCAGCATAATCAATTCAACATTGAGATTTTCTAACATAGAGATATACTCAAATGCTTCCTAAATATTCTTAGATGTCAATTCTGTTATAGACGTGAGTGGAAATGGCTATCTTTTTTCATATGATGGAACCAAAAATGTTGGATAGGGGGCTAGCTATGCAGCTTAAGGAGGTTACTGTGAAAATTAATATAGCTAGATTCATACTTATGGTACTTATTTTATGATGTACAATGATACAAGCACAAATTTTCAATATGGTAGCGGAAGTGGGTCGGCTTCAACTCAAGGAGGTGGGAGGATAGTCCTTATAGGTTATTCTCTAGTACTCACTGGATTAATCAATGCGAATGGCTACCCAAACATTGACAATATCAATACAACTCAAAATCTTCGTAATAATTAAAAATAACACTAATTATGTAGTTGGAGGCAGTGGAGGCTATATCTACATTGGCTATTTAGGAGGTAATGATTAAGATCCGAGCTAGTCAGCAAAAATCAACATTAACTCCATTAATGCGGTCGGAGGTAAACCTTAGGGTGATAATGGTAGAGGAGGCTCTGGAGGCAGAGTCGTATTTGATATCTATCCAGCAGAAGTCATCGATCCATTTTAATAAAATAGTATAAGTGTAGCAGGAGGCTCCACATCAAGAGTACTTTGTAAGTTAACTTTATTTTGAAAATTTATATTGCAGAAAACTTTTGCCCAATTGGTGGTTCTGGAACTATATTTAGCATCTAATAAAACAAACTGGTGATCGATGGCGGTAATCAAGTAACCTCATAAATTCAAGCAAAGACTATTATATCGCACACTGATATGACTATTTCTGACTTCAGACTATTAGTAATTTTGCTACCGATTCATATGTTTAAAATAGGGTTAACTTATTATTCAAAATTATGCATACGCTACTTTCCCAATATATGACCAATTCTACTTATTAAATAAGCAGCAGCATAATATATAAAATCTCCATATTGATAAGAACTCAATACTTGAATTACCAATTATTGATAGCAAGAAAGGCTCTAACTTTGACTTTTACCTGAACACTAATGTAACTTTAAATTATAGTATTTTTATCTTGCTATTAGAACTTAACTTTGACTTAAGGATCTTATATGAGAAATGCATATGCCTAAAGAATCATAATTAAGTCTGCTAATATTTTGATTGATGCTAAGAGTGTAATGCAAACCTTAAATTATCTAAGCTTTGAGGGTTCAGTTTTCTACCTTGGAGGGCAAATTTAAATGAAAAACTTAACCAATTTAACTCTGGTCTAAATAAATGTGGACAACTATTTTTCAATGGGTGACTCAGCAATATTACAAACTGACACATTGGTTATCTACTCAGATCATAATATCAGCATGTCTGGTCAGATTTATAGACTTTAGGATTTCTACACATGTACCACAGATTAAGCAGAGGTTTTCAGTTTTATTCAGGATAGAAGCTAACTTCCTATTTCAAGAGCTCAGTTGCTTGATAACTTTAAAACATAGTTTGGCTCTCCTTTACTTACTCATCAAATCGGAAACAAGACCTATTATGAGAATAGTGATATAAGCCTCGGATACTTAATGAATGAGATACTTGTTAACTTTACAACAACTGTAATTGCAATCAATTAATTGGATATACAACCTTTGGCTAATATTATGTCAAATAGAATTGGAATGTTCTCCAATAACTTAAATATTTATGGAGCTTTAAATACTACAGGCTTAGGCTGCCCGGCTGGAAATGGAACTGGGGGTGGACTACCTAGTGATGATAATTGTACAGCAACTGGTGGATCACATGGTGGATTTGCTGGTGAAAGTATGAATTATTATACAAGAGAAGGTCCAACTAATAATTAGCTTACTTTATATAAAATGGATGACACAAACCTTGATCCTTACAATGATGAATTTTGCCAGAAAAATTCACCTCCTGGACCTAACGGAAAGTATGATTCTGCCTATGTTCTTGAAGGATCAGGTGGAGGTTAATATAAATCTTTAAGAAAAGGAGGATAAGGTGGAGGCGTTATTTGGATTTAAGCAAATTCTCTTAGAGTTGAAGGTCAATTAGAAGCAAGTGGATTCCCAGCTACAAATTAATATGGAGGTGGAGGAGCAGGTGGTTCAATATATCTTTCTTCGAATACATAAACTGGCAAAGGTATCTTGACAGCAAAGGGTGGATCTGGATTAAATGGTGGAGGTGGCGGTTCTGGTGGCAGAATCAAACTGTTTTACTTCAGTTGGTTTGACTTATCAAAATATCCAGGAATTACCTATGGTACTGATTTCACTCTAAAAGTTGGTGCTGGAAAAGGATAGTATGACAATAATACTGCATAAAATGGCACTATTTGGAGTACACCATGTGCCCCAGGATATCATAAGCTGTTTTGTGTTCCTTGTGACTCTGGTACTTATAAAACTGAGATGTCTAACGTTGAGTGCTTGCCTTGCCAAAACATGCCTGACGAGGCTAAAGGAAATGCTAATTACACAAAATCCGGCTGGTCTAATCCACTCTGTCCATATAAATGTGACTCCAGCCTAACATAATATGAAGATAATCCTAAGTGTCTTAAGAATTTTGATCTATTCTTGTAAAATATGGGTGGGTTACAGATCTTCATTATCATTATCATCGCTACAGTCTTCGGAATTTGTGCAGTCATTTATTTTTTGTAATTTAATCAAGGCTTTAAGGCTGATGGTATAGATTAGTTGACAAAAATGAAAAAGTATCAATATCATTTGTGTTTTACATAAATTTATAGAGCTTTTGAAGAATTAGATTTTATTGATAGAGACCTGCACATGCAATTATGTAGGCTATACTTAACTGGTGGTAATACTATGTAAGAGCCTTGGGAAATGCCATTTTAGCCTCCATTTGAAATATCACATAGAATTTAATAAGATAAATATGAGGATTTTGTTAAGGTAATATTATTAAAATAAACTTAACAATTTAGAAAATAAATGAGTCAGATAGATTCGGATTATTTGAAAAGATATTTTTCCTTTTCATGACTATTATCTATCCACCATCTTCACCTTGGATATTAAAGAAACTTAGAAGAAGGCACTATCACAACTTCAAAAAAGCTTTCATTAACGAAGCCGATAACTTAGAATTCTGGAAGAGCTTAGAGGATAAATTAAACATAGAACTGAGATTTACTTCATCAGATGATTATACAATAGCATATGTTGATTTTATCGATATCAAGAAGACAAAAGAATCATATGAAGGTCCTATTATACCTTTGACTTTCATACTCTCAGGTGATGGATCTTTTAGCAGTCCCTTCCAAGTAAATATTTAGGATCCCTTATTGAAATCTATAAGTTACTTCACAGACGATCTCAAGGTAAGTTAATCTGTAAATATCACTAATTATTGTTAGATGTGGGAAATGTACATAGCAAATCTTAATTCTTATCTTATGTGCCTTTAAACATCATGCTTTTCATTCATTTTTAAGTGGCGATTAGTTGACACAATCAATTATATGAACAAGCATAAGCGAGATTTATTTGAATATTTTGGAATTAGAGTAAATTTGTGGCTTTTAGAGGTAAAATTGCAACATTAACGAGCTATAGATTAAAAATAACTAAAAGTAAATCACAAGTATTCTAGATAAGATTGATTAAGAGGAAGAATATTACATATTGACGAATGAAAATGTTTATTCAAAGAAAAGTCTCCTTTCAAATTTGATAGATTACTGGAGATTTGGGTCAATTTTTGATAGCAAAAAGATCTTTAAACTTGCCTTGATAGTACAAAGAATAGATGACAGAGAAAGCTAATAATTTGGAAGTTATAGAGTAAATTAAATAATATTATAATAATAATTCTTTTTAGTCTAAAGATATAATGATTAGCTAGGAAACAGCTTAAAACTTTAGCAAGAAAACAAGAAAACTCAGTGATAATAATGGAGGATCAGGCAGAAATACTCCACTAGAAGTAACACCAAAAGGTTTGAAGAAAAATCAAGATAGAGGAGATCCAAGCAAATATATCAAACTGCTTACTACTACAATTAGAGAGATTCACATGTATGTTTTAATGATTCTTTATAATAATTAAGTGATCCAACAAGAGTAAAGAAGATGAAGATGTTCAAGAGAGATTGGAAATTCTACCTAAAAATGATTCTTTATTTCCCAATCGCCTTGGTTAAGACTCTTACTTTAAGGCACACTCACGTTTTTAAAGTGACAATGATTGCCGTTATATTCTATATATTATTCGTTGTACTTGACATTGTAAGTTTATCATCTAAAATTTTAATATATACTTTAGGTCATGACAGCATAGATTTTTGTTGTTGTATACTTCCCATCAGGAGAAAAGACTGTAGAATGGGATGCATGGGTTTTACTTATTTTCTATCCTCTTGCAATATTCATATCACCACTTATTGGACTACTATCAGTAACTTAACCATATAGTTTATTTAATTTAGTTTATGCTTTGCAAGCCATTTTTCTACAGAGCAGTTGCTTACATGAACTCTTTGTGCATTTTCCCAAATTTACTTTTTTATCTGATATTGGAGCTTAGTATTGGTGGAATGAATATTCTATATTACTTAAGTCTTCAAGGTATCCTTGTTCTGAATAAATTGATCTTGGCTTAACTTATATTACTCTAAGTAGCTTATTTCAGGAATCCCAAATTCCATCAGAATAAAGTAATTTTATAGTAATTTAAAGCATTTTAGGCTAAACTACAAGAGCATATGCAATAAAATCATAAGCAACAAGATCAAGAATTAGAATTCACTATGCAACCTATTCATACATAAGAATCTACAGATTGAGATTTCTAAAATATCCCATTGGTTAATCGATCCATAAAATATTGATATAATTTCATCTTAATTTCATAAACTACTTAAGATAAGCAGCAATCAAATCACGGGGTTTTGGGGTTTTGGGGTTTTGGGG